TTCCAGTAATTGATCTATTACAACTGATAGTTTAATTACCATTAAACTGAATTGCACTACCAAACTAAGACAAAAGAGGGAAGTGTGCATCATCTGCTAAGTTACTATCCTTCTACAACAACTTCAATACTATATAAACAAGAAATTCTGCCTATAGATAACATATTCATATTTGTGAATAGCATAATGCAAATTTTAGCAAAGTTTCTCAAAACATCACGATGGTTCTCAAAATATTTAATGATATCTATTGCAAACTGTACTACAATGACTCAGTAATAAAACTAAACCTATTTACCAACATACCTTATAAAGCTATATCACAAATAATAATAACAAATTTCATTTTTAAAGTCAATTAAGACGAAAAGTATTTCTTAACAAGTATTTTCTTAAGTATTTTCTTAACAGAATATTTTTTTTTAATTTTTTTTATTATTTAATTTTTTATTTTTTTATTTTTTTAATTTTTTATTTTTTTATTTTTTATATTTTTTTATAATAAAATTTTTGAATGGTAATGAACAACAAAATTTTTTTTAATTATTTAAATATTGACTGATCATACAACTGTTTCGAGTATTTCCAAATACACTTCATCAGAGCTATTTTTCGAAATAATTTTTTAAACATTTAAGTACCAAGGTTTAAACCCATAACCTGTCCAATTTAAAGCTCAGAGTCAGTGTTAATTAGGCAACTGACCTAAAGTCATACTTGACCATACTATTGTGTCAAGTATTATAACAATATGTTAGGTTAGGTTAGGTTATAGGTCGGCGATCTCAAGAAATCCACTTAGGCCTATAGGTCCATAGTATAATAATATATTACAATTTAAATAAATTGTTTAAAAATTATAATATATATAAAATATAACGTATACTTCAATGCTTGAACTAAATTTTAAATTATGTTTGTTGATAGAGATATTTATTTGAATAAATTAATTTAATTAATTAATTAAATTAAATAAAAACATGAACTGTAAAATTATGTATTTTAATAATCAATTTTATAAACATTTTTAAAAACTAAATAGAATAACTAACAGAATATAAAATCGTTTTAGAAAGCCTTACAGATAATGCAAATAAATTTTTAATTTGTTTTTAAAATTGCTGCATGAACACATAATAAATAAAATACATTTTATTTTCAAGGAAATTTTGGTTCGAAATTTATTATTATAATAGTTGTTGTTGTAGTTTAGTTGTTGCTGTGCTACACTGTGTTGTTCTTGCATTCATTTTTCAAATTATTTTAAGTTTTGAAACAGAAGAAAATGATTTGCGAAAATCAGTCTTAAAAATAGATCTTTCGGCTTGTAAATCGTCAGTTTGCATTAGAAACGAATTTGTTAATTTTGCTCAGCCGCGACAGCAACAGCATGTGCCGACGCCGACCGTACAACAATAAAATAAAATACAACAACAAAAATAAAAAAAAAATAAAAAAAAAAATTTTTTTTTAAAAAAATAAAATAAAATTCAAATGGGATTATATTGTTCAGAATTTCGAAATATTAACGTGTGGAAATGTTAGCGTATATTTATTTATACAATATATATATTTTTTGTATTTGTGGATATATAATTTTTTCCCGTTTTTGTTCATTTTTAATGTTTATTTTGGCTAGGCGCTTGACGCTTTGGTCAGTCAGTGTATAGTTAGTTTTCTTGCATAGATAAGATTCTGACGTAATGCACTGTAATTGCACCATACACAAATTTACACTTGAGATACAATAATACAACGCTTACATACATATATATTCATACATTTGTAATGTACAATATAATATAAATGCATGTTCAGTTGACAGAAATACCATGTGACAATTTTTATAGCATAAAATTTATAGCATTTTCTAGAGATTTATGTTAGTTGCTAGACTTGTAATTTCCAAGAAACTAATCAATATTTTTTACATAAAAAAAATTCTTTCTTCAAAACTCATCTCGAGTTAAAGTTAAAATTATTCATAACTAATGAACATTAAAGAATCAGATTTCAAGCAGGCACGTAGCCAGGGTGAACTTAAACGGATGAGGCTGAAGCCCCCCGAACTGAATGAATATTTCTTTATATTAATACATCATGACTAATACATAATCATCAATTTAAGCTATAATTATTTTTTTTAGTTAATTTTTAATTAGGTTTTGGTTAGTTGGTTAGTTGCAGTGGTAGGCCATTAGATAACTTCAACATACATTAATTAGCAATTTTTCGCTATTTTGCTACCACTTTCCTCACAAGAACCCCTAATATAGGCGAGTAGAGACTCCCATCGAATTTAGATAATTACCTTATGATCAAAAAGTATCCGGATTTTGTTGTTTGTTAGTGTCTCCTTAATTAATAGACCTTTTTAAAAAAATTTTTTTTTGTTATGTTGGTACACCTTTTCTTGACATATGGTACAAATCTGAGTGTCATCTGTCAATTAGTTTGTTTACAGCAGCTGTTAATGTGAGACTACCTCAAGTGCATTTAGCGATTTTTACAATGGAAAATTCTTGTTGTACGCGATTTTTTAACCAAACACGGCACCACTATCATCGCTCAGGCACCATATTCGCCAGATCTGGATCCGTGCGACTTTTTCCTGTTCTCGAAACTCAAATTGCACCTTCGTGGTAAGCGTTTTGAGTCGATTAAATCGGTAAAAGAGAATTCGCTGAAGGAGCTAAAAACCATACCTTTACGGGGCTACGAAAAGTGTATGGAAGATTGTGTTAAGCGTTGGCATATGTGTATCGCTTCAGAAGGAGCATATTTTGATGGAGATAAAATAAAATTGGAATAAAATTTAAATTTGTTTGTTGTATTTACAAAATCCGAGTATTTTTTGAGCAGAAGGTAAATAAGTCTTTCGTTTTCACCGATGACAGTCTGATAAACTATCAAAAAAGTATCTTTCTAAAAACCTATTTCTTCTAGGCGCTAAAGCCGGACATTCACAGAGAAAATGTATAATGGTTTATTTTTACTGTGGGTTTCCACAACTGCTGCAATGAGAATTATGAGAAATGCGTAATTTCTCTGCGTAGATTCCTATACACTAATGACCAGAAAGAACTGCAGCAACCCTTGCAGTGTTCACGCGTTCTCTTTTGATAAGTTTTGATAGTTTTTAGTCAGTTTTTTATAATTCTGAAGTAAACTTAATAGCCCCCCTCCAAAGAAAATTTTTGGTTACAGCCCTATTTTCAAAATCATTCAGCTCAACGTAAAAGTATCGCTTAGAAAACCAGTCAGTGTTCCATTTTTCGTAAGGAAAGATTATTATTGAGATATGATCATTTTTATGATTAAATATTTTTTTTAATTCCGGATTTGCTTGACAATCTATATCTTAGTTAGTCTTGAAAACGAACAATATATAAAGTTTTTAATATCAAAAAAAATACTTTTGTACCTTTTTACAAAATATGACTATTTAGAACTGAAATTTGTTTGATGAAATTTACTAAATATATCTTTTACTACAAGAATCTAGTTTGTTTTAAGCAAACAATATATCAATGAGTTATTAAATTTAGCTTTGCTATCCAAATATTTACACTTGATCCGTATTTTATCAATAAAACGGTATAAAAATTGAATATAGTCTATACCAAGAAACGACATTCTTCATATGAGTGGAACTTACTTAGCAACTCACGGAGTTTTAAGTTGTTCTCAAAAATGTATCTAGTATTTCTAGGAAACTAAATATTTATGCATTGCTTACGGCCTACCAGATTAACCAAAATCGGTTGTATTTAACAATCATCTTTAAAATTATACTCAAAATAACAAACACAGTGTACTATCAATAATCTAAAAGTTATCTATAATTATTTATAATCTATAATTTATATAGTTTGTTATTTGACTCACAGCTAAAAGTAAGAAGTCGAATTTTGCATTTGCATATGAAGACTTTATGCAAATTAAACCTAACGATATACGCACCGATCTGTTATTACTTCAAACCAACTTCCAAAAAATGCATATATAATAAAATCGTTCGTATATGTTTATAAATTTTGTGACAAGATCATTGAAGAAATGCTTTTTTCGACTTTTAACGATTAAAAATAATGCAATGAAGATAATTGTGGTGTTCACATTACTGCGATGTTCGAATTATGGAGAGTCAAGTATAAATAGAGCATAATGTTTATCAAATAATATTAAAGACATATAACAAGAACACGTTGTACCAACGACAGATATTAAAATAACTTGTCTATATCTTATAGGAACTCGCATAACAATAGAACGTAGAAGAGTGTAATGTAAAAAAAATTTCTCTGCTCAATTGCCACACATGTAATATATTATCAACTCGTAACATATTCTAGAAAGACCTATTAATTCGATCAAATATAACTAAAGTGCTAAATAAACTTAGAACCATGTTATTTAGGCAGTCATATTCCGGTGAAATGTGAGGTTATAATGGTTTTTAATATAAAACAAAAAGCGAGATATTTCTATTTAAATTTGATCACGGTGACGAGGTTTTCTGTGGGTCATCACGTATATCAAAACAGTGTTGCTCAGTGATAAATCCTATAATTTACGTTTATTAGAAGTAAATACGTATATTCTTGCTTAATATATTGTAAATATATTAAATAACTTTTAAATTTGTGCACAAAAATAGTAGTAAAGGTAGATGATTGACAATTCTTATATGGCTCTCTGTCTAAAAGAAACGTAAAATATCCGTCACTATTCGTCATATGACTATCTGTATAACAAGGTTATTAGGGTATACCGCGTTCATATAAATTCAAGTGATGTTTAGCATATTTTAAATATCAAATAGAAATTATATTAAACTTAGTTTGTCATATATTTTTTTAATATCTGATGTAAAATTTTTTTAATTGTGAATTTAATGTCAAATCAACAATATTTTAAAAATAAAAAATAATAATACTTCTAAGGGAACTTTTTCGGTATCAGAAATCAGTATCATATCCGGAAATGAAGTAATCAAATTTAAATTGTTTTTTTTAGCTATGAAAATTATTAATTTACGAAACAAAGTAGAATGGACGATATGTATAAAGATAAGAATTTATTATTAAACAGGTGTTATAATTAATAACAATTATTTCAATTATAAATGAATAAATTTGCCAATCATTAACTATTAATATATCCTATATAATAATGTTTATAACCTAGTACAATAGTTTCAAAACTCGCACTTACTTGATGCAATGCTGTTAGTCCATCAACATTGGCAGTGTTTATATCCGCGCCATGTTCTAGAAGCTTAAGAACTTCCTCTTTATCTCCAGAAAGGCAAGCTGCTAAAAAGACGCAACCTGAAGAAAATTTTATTTTGCGCCCCTTCTCTGGTTTTGGGGTTGGAGGTTCACGATTTGTTTCTGATTCTTCCCAGCGTTTAAGCTGTTCAGCACGTTTCATAACGGCAGAGTTGCTACGCACGTCTAGAGATGTCATCTTGTTTATTTATGCTTCTTCTTCGTGGTTGTATATCGGATATTTAAAAACGTGATCTTAACGATCTTAAATCTTGCCTGGGACTTGGCTTGGGACTTATATTTTCGTAATGTTTCAGATATTATTTACAGAGATTGTAAAACGAATTAATCATATATATATATATCGCTGCCATAAGTCGTCTCGATTCTTCTTGTTGATTTGATTGTTATCGTAGGTTTGTTTGCATCAAGTTACCTGCAGCATATAATTTTTGTTTTTTTTTTTTTATTTATTAGTTTACTTATTTTTTCACTTCAAATTATAAAAAAATAAAAGCGTATTTCTTTTCCACCTCACTGCACTTTCTTTAATCTTCTTTCTCTATAACATTCTGGTCGATTTTTCTTAACATGGAGTGTATCACTACTTCACTTTGCGAAAATAAATAAACTATTCACAAAAATTTTGTACTAACTTTTTAAGTTTTTTAAAAAAATCTGCGTCAAAAATCATTTTGTTTTTCTTGTATTTATTATTTATGTAATTTTTTTTTTTTTTGTTATTTTTTCTTAATAAATTTGCTCTGTAAAGAAAATTTATATATGAAACTAGCGATTGATATAAAGCAGATCATCAAAACAAATTCATTATTTTAGCTTCCAAATTACAAAGGCGAATGTGGTACGCTCCACAGGAATTAAAATCCACTTTAATATGACAGCCGCCGCAAACGTTGGGAAACAAAAACAACAAAACAACGAAACGCACAAAAATAAAGAGAATAGACGAGATCCAAATTTATCAATTTGAGCAAAAGAATAGAAGCGCAAAAGGGAACACCAAAATAGAAATAAAAGAAAAAAAATTCCTTAACATTATAGGCCGGTTTAAATAGAATTGGTGCAATATAGCATTTCTAAATTATTTTAATATTTAATATTTGTTTGAAATTAATTAAAGTTTAAGTTTTAATTAAATTATACGCCTTCATTATGAAAACCGATTAGTTATTTAATACAATAAAGTTAAAATTAAATTCTTATTGGATGAAAATTCATATTAACTACAGTATAAGAACTTATTGCAGTCCTAATTAATATTTTTTATTTAATTTTTTATAATAGCATTTATTTTGAATAGTTTTTTTTTTGATATTTTGTACTATTCAATAATTGCAATTATTTAAAATCTTTATTTTATAATTTTACATGTGGAATTCATTTGCATTATGATTTGATGTTTGTTGTTGTTTCTGTCTCATTGCTCTTGTGCTCTCGTTTCAGAAAATCAACAGCCGCGTAAAACGATAAAAAGCAACACGACAAAACTAAAGTAAATATATGGAGAAAAAAATTACAATAAAGTAGCACAGAAATTATAACAATTTAATAGTGCAGGCAGCTGTACTAATGTTATATATCCGTAATACAATATTAAATTTCATTTTTAATTACGAGTTGATTAGTTTTTGCGTTAAGAGAAAATTTTAATAACACAATTGGCTTTGCATTTTTCCCCACCAAATGCAAACCGATGCAATTATTTTAAAACACATTTTGGTTGTTTATTATTATTAAAATTAAACTATAGACATTATTTTAATTTTTGGTTGTATATTTATAAATGCAATTTTCACAAACTCTTCTTCACAATTTTATCTTTTTTAAGAATTTCTTTTTTTTTTTTGCTTTTGGGGACTTGGGAGCGGTCGTTAATTTTCGTACGCATTCGCTGATATTTTAATATATTTTTAATTACTTTTGTATACTACTTTCTTACATATTTTCACTTTCATTAGCTTTTTCACAATTTCATAATTATTTTTCACATAACTTATAAACTTAAAAAATTATATTTTCTATAAAATTAGAAATACGCGTTTTGACTATAATTTGATATTTCTTTTTTTTGTATAATTTTTTCTTATTCTGCTCGCTCGTTTAAGACTTTTAGCATTTTGCTATCTACTGCGTCTTCCAATTCACTTCACCTCACGATTTCGACTGAATACTCCGTTGGCAGTGTTATTTTGCACAGTGACAGCAATTGTGTGGAACTTATTCGCTTGAAAATGGCAGCACTATTAAAAAGTTGGCAGCACTTCACAGTTAATCAAAAATATTTTTCAATAAAGAAAATTATGTTTACATGTATTAAAATATTGTATTTAAAAGAAAAACAATACATTGGTAATAAAAACAGATTTTTTAATTTTATATTGTTAAATATACTTATAAAAAATGCTTGTTAAAACATTGTAAAATTGCTACAATTTTCCGTTAGATGGCACTGCGAAATATGCGATGTTAAAACCAAAGAACTGTTTCTTTGGTTAAAGCGTTAAAAATTTTGGTCTTGATAATAAAAAAATAAAAACCAAATTAATTTATTTTATATATTTATATAAAATACAATTTTTTAAGATACATACATTAATTTAGTAATTAAAGTATAAAGTATATTGAATAAAGCTAAATAAAGCTAAAGTATATTGAATTAAGTATTATAAATATAGTGTACAAATTTTTATATATTTCCACTTATCTCCTTCTCCAGACATTATTTATTATGTTGGCGACATATACTTCTGTTTATATACAAGAACTTGGCAAAATTTAACTCTGGCATATCATTTTTCGTTATAAAATTAATAGAATCACAAAAATAGCGTACGTGAAAAACGTATTCATTATGTATGTACATTGTAGTTTTAAATATTAAATGCAATAAATTTCATATAAATACTAAAGCACAGTAATCTTTAATTTCATTGTTGAAAATCATACAAAGCCATATCAATTGACATTAATAGCAAAACAAGAAAATATAGCAACACATGGCAAGTCTCTAGCAACAAGGGCTTAGATTGACAAATAACAATGCTTAATTTATAGTTACTAAATATATCAATGTATCAACAATACATTCTTGGATTAAATTTTTTATATTAATTATAAACTAAATATTTAAATAAATGATTTCAGTAATATAGCACATATTATCTTTATTGATCTTTAATATATATTATCTATCTATCTATGTTTTTATTATTTATAATTTCTGTTACATTGTCCATACCAGTAATCAGTTTAAAATAAAATTATTTTATGTACATAATACAACAATAACTATTAAAGATCAATTTTATAATGCTCACAAGAGAAACACTTCAGTTAAATATAGTATGGCATGTTTTAAAACTGAATAAAATTTTATTTTATGAATAAAATAATTCACGCAGTTTCTATTAAATGGAAAGTATTTGTATCACACTATTAACATTATAATGCTTTATAATTTCATTTTCTTTACAATGAAAAATGAAGCATATACATTAATCATATAATGAAATTACATAGAAGTGAAAATAACATATAAATTCAAGTGGAAATAAAAGTATTTTAGCATATTGTTAACTTTTAAGGCTTCTTTTAACTTCCTATTCTTGTATTCTATGGCTTTAAGAAGTATTACGGTTTCAGGGTTGTATTTTTATTGCAAGCAAAATTTAAATTTTAATTTTAAAACATTTACTTAATAAATTTGTTTACTGAATATTTTCAATTTAATAATACAAAAATTTATTATCTTTGTTACAAATCAATAAAAAAATATTTATATAAGTAGTAATAACTCCATTAGTAATACCTTTAAAGCTTTATTTAACTTGTTAATCTATTAAAGTCTTAACAAGAATATTATTGGTTTTTATATTTTAGTAATATTTTTAAGATTTGTAATGAATTAATCCAAATGGTGGATGGATTATATAAACCCACGTAGCTTAAAATTAAAGAAAAATAATTCGTTGAAAGTGCTGCTAAGCTGTGATTATGGGTTTTTTCTATTTATTTATATCTGTTTTATGCTTTAAAGCTTGTAATGTATTAATGACTTGCTGGTTTACTTATACTATGTCTTAATTCTTATTATTTTCACGTTTCAATAGGCTTTTTCTTATGTACACAACAACACTGCTGGCTTATTTACTCCAAATTTTTTGAAAGCACTTAACTTGAGCAGCTCAAATCACATGGTTACCAACACTAAAAATTCGTCTATTGTGAACGATTTTTAAAAGTGTTGTTTTGAATTTTTGATCTGTCAACGAATGATTTCGATAATTATTCGTATTTCGTGTCGTCATTGTTCGTAACAAATATGTTATTTTTTCTATGTATTATTTTACTGTAAAAAGACACGAAAAATTATATTTTATTCAGAAATATGTAAAACAAAATATTCTTATCAGTACTAATATTTGCAAAGAATTATGTTATTATTAATTTTCAAAATTTCAACTTTAAATTTTATAACGTGTTTTGCACATATAAGCCTAACAAAATCTGCATTTTATACAGAGTTGGCATCAGAAGTAGTGCTTATTTTATTTGTTCTTTTGTGACATGCTTACAAAAGAAAATGACTATTATTATCATTTTAAGTTTATTTTTGTATTAGAGAAATCCTTTTATGTAGCGCTAATTAATGTTAAATTAAAATTTTCGACATAATTTCTTTAAAATAATAGGCCTTTTCGGTGGCTCGCAAGTATGGCAAAAAACAGAAAGTTGCTAGTCTATACTGGCTGAAATGTACTCAAAACAACAACACTATTTTCTCTATTTAGGCAAGTTGTTTTGAAGTGGCCAAATATTTCGGTCAGTGAAATAAAAAGTGTTACCAACGCAGTAAGCGAGCTATTGTGAACCCTAATTGGAAATTCCAATGAATATTGCAATCGTATGTCAAAAATCATATGTAAACAAAAGCTCAAAAAAAAAATTCAAAAATTTCATAAATTTGAAAATTGGGAAAAAAGAAAATTTTACTGTTTTATTTTGAAATTTTCAACATTTTTATTTTCCCTCTTTAATTCTGTATTCATTTTATTTTTCAATTTATATGAATTATTTATTTTTGTACAAAATGTAATTTGCTTGCATTATGTGCACATATGCAAGATTTACTATTTGCCAAAACATAAGACTTGACAGATTGCAACAGTTATTGGCATAACTATTTGCCAAAACATAAGACGTGACAGATTGCAACAGTCATGCCAATAACTCGCTTAGCGAATATAGGCTAGCATGCATTTTTTGACATACTTGCGAGCCACTAATAAATAATAAATAAGTGCGAGGCCTAAAAATAAATAATTCATAAAATTATTTTAATCATTTATATTCGAATAAATAATAATAATAATTTAATTTTTCATATTTATCTGGCAATACTCCATAAAAGAAATATTCAAAAACGTAGAAGTACTTAAATGGTGGTAGAATGTGATAAGTAATATAAACTTAAGCCCATTATAAATAAATATAGAAAACATAGAATTCTATGTTCTTGAATTTTGAGCAACAAGGCAATAAGCGATAAGTGAGTGAGAAGAATATACGAGAACATAATAAGTTACTATTGGAGTGAAATTGCCGCTTACCGCGCACATTTGCCATTCACATATTCTTTCAAATTTGTTAGGCCAAAAAGCACGAACTGCAAGCCATGAGAGGTACGGCATCGCTGCGTTTGTTTACATATTGCATATTGCCTTGCGTAACGAATTCACGTATGGAAACCAGAAAGTAGTGAACATTTTCTATTTATTTGAGTTGGTATTTTTGTTTGAAATTTTCGTTGCAGTCGTCGCTGGCGCGCAGTCCAAATACAACTTTCGACATAAAATATACGTTCGTGCACTGTTAACATATATATGGTAAATAGTTGGTTGGTTTTTAATTTAAAACCAAAATAAAGTATTATGAAGAACTATAAATAAATTATAAGTGCAAAACGTTAAACTAAATATTAGATACATAATATGTAATAAATTTTTTTTTTTTAATTTAATTTTATTTCAATTGCCACGTAAATTATTTTATGCAATAAGACTATAATGTAATTATAAAAAATTTTTAATTAAGATTATTTCGGTTAAGACCCACAAACATATGTGTTGGCATTTAAAATGATAAGATAAAATTAAATAATATTAAAAATAAACTGAAAGTTATTCAATATACTTATCATCTACGAGGCTGAAATGCGCTGCATGTTTATGATAAAAGTTACCAATAATAAAAGCTGGCGACAAGCGTCTGACAAACAAAATTGTTAAAAACATTTTGAAAAGTATTGATAAAACTACATAACCAAAGAATTAAAAGTATTAAATTAAAAATTATTTGAAATAAATAAATATTAAATAATAAATAATTGCATTGTGACTGTGAAGCAGAAAAGTTTAGTTTGATGCGGAAATTCAAAGTTGGCACAAGATGACTTCGGTAAGTCTCCCATTGTTTTGTTTTCATTTGAAAAAGTAAATAAAAAAGTCTACAAATGAATGTTATTAGTAGCGGAGAGTCACTATTGTCATCTCTCTTCCACGCACGTTCGATTTATGTAGGACTATTTTGTAGGATTTTTATGTGAATCTGTAGTAAACAGATTCTGTGTGCGGTAGTAATTGTACTATAGGCAAAGAAAAAAACATTTTTTTTTTCATCAAACAAAGCAGATATTATCCCTGCTCGCTTCCTGAACATCCTTGCTTTGCATTGATGCTGGCGCACTTAATTCACATAAGAATTTAAGAAGAAATGAAAAAATGAAAAACAAAAAGGAAAATCGTTGAACTATTCGATTTGGAGTTCATTCACATGTTTTCCAAATTTATTTTTTTTTTTTTTGTGATTTTCTCATGGTAACATTAATATAGCCATGTCCTGTGGGAATTTTATTTTTTTATGTCTACTAAATGTTTTGCGTGTGAATTTGCGGGAAAAAAATTGTTTTTTCGTGGGAAAATTAATTTAATAAATTTTAAATATTAATCACATATAAATTTTTTTATTTTAAATGCTTAAAATATCTAATATTTTTTTTATTATTATAAATATATCACTAAGCAGCTGTTTTCATAAAATTTTGTTATTGATCATTATTATATATAGATTTCTATTGTTTTAATTAAGAGCATATGGTATATAACATAATCAAATTTTTAGTTTAATATTAAGA